TAAATTCTCCAGGGTCAATTTTAGAAAGAAAGATGGATCCCGGGTAGGGCTGAGATACAAGAAGGAATAACAGAAATGGCTAACTATATGGGTCAATTTGGACAAACCTTGGCTGCCTGAACAACAGTAAAACCAGTGAGCTAAGAAACAGGACAAAACTAAAAGACCAGATCATAAAGCATAGAAGTTGGGGTTGTCCTTGTATTGTTGAAAGAAAGTTGAAGAATTGGATACATATCAGACTTTGTAAACTGTCAGTATGAGAGTTGCTGAGGTAACCACCAGAATAACCACCATATAAAGCGTTATCTCCAAACCAGACAGATCTAAACAAAGTGAATAAAAAAGACAGGATAAAAATTTTTCTATTTCCTGAAACTCCCATTTGACCCTGTGATCCCACTTCTAGGAATATATCCCAAGAAACCAGAAACACCAATCAGAAAGGATATATGCACCCCTATGTTCATAGCAGCACAATTCACCATAGCTAAGATCTGGAAACAGCCTAAGTGCCCATCAGTAGATGAATGGATTAGAAAACTGTGGTACATCTACACGATGGAATACTATGCTGCTCTAAAAAGGAAGGAACTCTTACCATTTGCAACGTCATGGATGGAACTGGAGAGCATTATGCTAAGTGAAATAAGCCAGTCAATGAAGGAAAAATACCACATGATCTCACTCATTCATGGATAATAGAGACCATTATAAACTTTTGAACAATAATAGATACAGAGGCAGAGCTGCCTCAAACAGATTGTCAAACTGCAGCGGGAAGGCCGGAGAGGGTTGGGGGGCAGGAGGTAGGGGGGTAAGAGATCAACTAAAGGACTTGTATGCATGCATATAAGCATAACCAGTGGACATAAGACACTGGGGGATAGGGGAGGCTAGGGGACTGTCTAGGGCGGGGGGATAAAATGGACACATATGTAATACCCTTTGTAATACTTTAAGCAATAAATTAAAAAAAAAAATTTTTTCTATTTCCAAAACTAGGCCCCAAAAAAGTGAGTCTGGAAAAAAAAAGAAAAAAGAAAACCAGAGGGGGAAATAGAGAGCTCATTTTATTTTTTTTAAATATATTTTATTGATTTTTTTACAGAGAGGAAGGGAGAGGGATAGAGAGTTAGAAACATCGATCAGCTGCCTCCTGCACACCCCTCCTGGGGATATGTCCGCAACCAAGGTACATGCCCTTGACTGGAATCGAACCTGGGACCCTTTAGTCCCTAGGCCGACGCTCTATCCACTGAGCCAAACCGGCCAGGGCTAGAGAGCTCATTTTAATGAGATGGTATAATAAACCCAACGGGAATAAATCCTCCGTAACACAACCAAATGTTTACAAGACACAATTAAAATATAAGAATTCAGATAGATTTAAAGGCAAAAGATGACAAAATATGTCAAGGAGAAATCAATTAACCGTCAGAGTGGGTGGGAGACTTGAACACAGTAAGTGATAAATCCCATAAAAAATGTCTATTAGGACATGGATTTGGACAAGACAATCCACAGACATGACAGCATGATCACACACAGATATCACATTGTACCTAATAATTTGAAAGGATGGATTTTTAAAATATGGGAAACAAAAATATCAAGTGCGGCAAAAAATGGAGGGAAATGGCCCCTTGTGCTCAACTGGAGGGAATAGAAAACGGTCCAGCCACTGTGGAAAACAGCCCGGCAGATCCTCAAAAAAATTACACGGAACTACCAATTCCAACTCTGGGTACATATGCAAAAGAATGGAAAGCAAGTACACAAACAGATATGTGTTCACCCTGTTCACAGCAGCATTAGTCACAATGGCCAAGGGGTGAGAGCAGTCAGTGTTCATCAATGGGCGAATGGATAAATAAACGTGGTTCAGACACACATGGACTACGACTCAGCCTTGAAAAGAAAATGAATTCTGACACCTTCTACACAAGGATGAACCTCGAAGACATTGTGCTGAGCAAAGTAAGCCCGTCACATAAGGACAAATACCGAGTCCACACATACGGGGGACCCACGGTAGCCAGATTCTGGGGACAGAAAGAAGAGGGTGGCCAGGGGCTGGGGGAGGGGATGGGGAGTTACTGTTTAATGGAGAAGAGTCTCTGTTTGGGAAAATGGAAACGTTCTGGGGATGGTGGTGATAGTTGCATAACAATGTGAATGTACTTAATACCACTAAACTACATACTTAAAGATGGTTAAAATGGTAAATGTTATGTGTATTTTATCACAATAAAAAGGGGGTGGGGGAAATGACATGCAAAATGTTTAAATCCAAAAAAATGATAAATGGTAAAAAAAAAAAAAATTAGATGGACCTTTTATGGAACTGACAGTGTGCTAGGCCGTTGAGGGAAGAGGAATGGGGAATGAGACATGTATTTGGCAATGAAGAAACCATTATGGAATGAGAAAATGCTTGCAACTGAACCAAAATAAGGTATCAGTGAACTAGCATGCAGCTATTCAAGTAATGGTATGAGAACAGTGTACATATGTGTGCTTATGTGTGTGTTGTATGTGCATAAATTGAGGGGTAGGAGGCCATATCCGAAGCCCTTAAGCATGTCTGTTGGAACCTCAAGTGGCTATTTTGTGGGGAAGGATGACAGGTGTAGTCACTTGGAAAGTAATCAGCTTCCCTCCCGGGCACCATCCCAGCGGCCCCTCCACCTGCTCCCAGATCCAGCACACTGGCCTTTACCGCGGCGGGGGACTCGGGGAACACAACTGGAAGGAGCTGTTAAGGAAACAGATGATCTTAGAAGGGAGGACAAACCCCATTATAAGAGGGGATCTCCAGGGCCTACCCTGGCGTGGGAGGAGAGCTGATTTCTCCAGGGGCCCCTCTGCCTAGGACACTAAGAGAGCACTAGCTCCCAGTCAGAACCTAGAGGACCAAACCAGAGACCACCTCCTCCCCTGGTCCGGGGGAGGTGAATTATAAATGTTAACAATGACATAACACATATTTTGAAAAAATTAGTGAGATAAAGATGTGTAGCCCACAATTTCCATATAATAAAATATAAAGTGCTCTCTTTTGTAACTTCCATGTAGGTGATTGGTTCTCATAGGCTTTTGCTGATTTTTGCTGAACTGGCGAATCCATAGCCAAACTACGGTTGCAGGTGAGAAGCAAGTGTAGTTCTGACCTTCACTTACTTTAACAAGAGAAAAGCAGGAGCTGCGAGGATGTCACTTGCTCGGCAGTGACACAGGTGACGTCCTTGCTGGACTGAATGATAGTTTTTGAACACTGGAAGGAACTGCCTCCACTTTTTGTGCTGTTCATAATGAACGGCTGCAGATAAAACACACTTTTTGGTTAATGTGCATCATTACCTTTCACCCTATGGCATCTGCCCATTTCCACAGTGCGACTCCTCCCACCTTGGCCAGAAGTGACTGCACTGAACCTGAGTCAGGAAGAGCTGGGCCGTGGCACAAAGTATTTCCATCCTACGGATACAAGGCACAGGCAGCCTCAAGGGCATAGGGAACAGTAAATGTAATAAAAGAAATTAAGTGATGAGTTTTCAGTATCTACTACTCTTATTTTATTTTTTTAAATATGTTTTTATTGATTTCAGAGAGGAAGGGAGAGGGAGAGAGAAACCTCAATGGTGAGAGAATCACTGATCGGCTGCCTCCTGCACACCCCCTACTGGCGATCAAGCCCACAACCCAGGCATGTGCCCTGACCAGGAATTGAACCGTGACCGCCTGGTTCATAGGTTGACACTCAACCACTGAGCAACACCGGCCAGGCTACTATTCTTGTTTTAACATAATGGCTTGAAAACTTCCTGGAAGTTTAATAGTCACCTGCAGCAGGAGACCAAAAGTGCAGGCCCCAGTGAGCCCATGTCTAGGGCAGGGTCTGGGAGTTGGCAGGTGGTGGCCAAGTGTGGACATGAAGCGCCCCACAGGCTGGGTTCTGCCAGGCTCATCCTTTTGGGGGCGGGGCAGGGAGGAAGTGAGGGGACCCCTTAACACAGTCCAACTCACCCGGGGACTACTTGGCTCTTTATAAATTGTGACCTTGTTCATTGGTGAGGAGTCCAAGACTTTTATTTTAATCCCACAAATGGTTGTTTTGGCAGGTGTGGCAGGAGGGGAAATAGCGACATGGGTGTGCAGTTTTACAGGCGACAGGAGGCTCTGGGGGGAGCCGGGCCTGCTCTCAGCTGGGGCGCTGCAGGCCGAGAGTGCCAAGGCCACATGCTGACTCCAGGTTTTGATTTTGCAATTATCCAAACGAGCTTAATGCTTCAAATCCCTGGTTTAGGAGTTTTTATTTGAAAGTTCTATTTTTAAATGCATCCGTGTTTGTATTGAAACTGCCCCAAAGACGCCTTCCTTCAGAGCCTTAATCCCTGGAAATGGAAAACCCGCCAGAAGAATGCGGGTGCTGCTCTGCTCCCCAGGTCCCAGGTGGAGAGCAGAAGGAGGTCACCTTCACGGTGGGTCTAGCCACAGGGGACCAATAGGTGTGAGTCCCAGTGACCAACTCAGGCTGCACAATAGCCCAGGACAACAGCCCATGGGCCCTTCCTCCATAGAAAAGATTAAAATGTTTATAACTGCATTGCTATAAAGGCAAAAATATCACATATTAAAATATTTGCTTTGACTTAAAAGTTCACTTTTGTCTTCTAAGAATTTACACTTTCATGGTCTCCTAAAGTGCCCTGGGCCCTGACAATAGTTTTTCAATATATATTTTTTATTGATTTCAGAGAGGAAGGAAGAGGGAGAGAGAGATAGAAATATCAATGATGACAGAGAATCACTGATTGGCTGCCTCCTGCACACCCACTACTGGAGACTGAGCCCACAACCCAGGCATGTGCCCTGACCAGGAATCAAACCATGACCTCCTGGTTCATAGGTTGACACTCAACCATTGAACCACACCGGCTGGACTCAGCTAAACTTTAGAACTAAAATTATGAAGTATGACTCCAGTACTTCCTGAAAACTTATAAACCAAAGTAGAGAAAACATTTAATAATCCCATTTGTGTAGTTTATCAAAATAATAAGCAACACCAGGATTTAACTCATCTATAAGACACAGTTATAATCAGACTTTCTAAAGCTTCATGAATGATCTTAAAATTTGATAAATGCTTGTCTCATAAAACTTCAATTTATACAGAAAAGAAGCAAATGTCACAATATGAATGAAAAGGTACATTTCCCTGAACTTTCTTCAAAGAAAAAAAGGACATTCAAAAATTTAAAAAATCCAAATGCTTGTAAACTTCTTCCAGGTATGAACTGAATTGCACAACCCATATATTTATAGAAAAAATACGATTATTTTTAATGATTTATGTATAAAAGAAAAAATAAATTTTATGGTACAATTTGAAAGACTACTTCATACAAAATTTTACCCACATACAATGTATGTAATTTTTTGCAACAAAAATTCTAGTCATATATACAAATTCATAAAGGGCAGACATCTTATCTTGAAGCAAAACAGGGCCATTTGGGATTGTGGCTAAGTCATTCAATTCAGTAGAAAACAGATTGTACGTATATGAAGGACTAGTTAGCTAGAATGCCTCCCCGCCTCCAACAAACTATTTAGTATAATCAGATCAAACAGAACTTTACGGTGCCTTTAGAAAGGAGAAAAAGACCAGTGTTTCTAAATGGCAGATCTTGGTAATCTGATCTTGAACTTACTCAGCTTAGAAAATCATATAACTACCTTAGTAAAAGATTTATTTTGGAAATCACACTAAGAAAAATCCAAGCTGTGCCATTTGTGTTAGCCCTCAGAGAAACAAAACTTCCTCAGGCAATTCCAACACTTAACCAGCACGCCTTGGTTTACATAATAAATACAGCATCTAGAAATACAAGTATCAGGACCAGTAAGTACATCTCTGAATGGTGAAACCCTTTATATACAAACTTGAAGACATGTACGGTATTGTATGTAAATGAAAAACTAAATATAAACCATATTTTAAAAAATTTGGCTTTAAAAAATAATTTCCTCCCCCCATAAATAGGTCTTATAAAAAATTGGTAAATTGTGCCTCCTTTAAAGTCTTCCTTTCTCAGATTCCCCTAAACTATCCATCTCTCGGGTGCACAGGTGCATAGACCTGTCCGAAGGGAAGACGTGCTCCAGGCCTGGGAGAGCAGGCCTCCTGCAGAGCCACACAAGCGCCCACCTGGGGAAGCGCAGGGCTGATGCCGAAGGAAGTGAGGATGGCCGGGACAAACTCATGTCCAGACAATGTCATGATGGCCACACTGAAATCGCCTTCTTAAATGTATGAACTTTACAGGTTAGAAACACAAGCAAAAGATAACAGGAACCAATAAGAAAGTTACATAAAGAATTATATACAAGTATGAAGAGGTTTAAAGAGTTCACCTGCATCCTTATAAAAATACACCCTTTAACCCTTTTCAAGTGCAAATGGATTAAAAATACAATCCATTCATGTTCAGGCCACATTCTATTTATAAAGTGCCTCAAAAAGCACAGTCATCCTTCATCCAGTGTCTGACTTGCAGAAGTCCTCACCAAACCTGAAACTGAAATCTATGACCACTGTTCGCCTTGGTATGCCAACAGCACTCCTGCCAGAGAATGTCAGTGTAGAACTGACCTCCCCAGGCTGCTGCGGACAGAACATGCCTGCAGAGAAATTCCCACCGGTGTCTGGAAGAGCTGTTTGTAACCAGTGAGCAGCCTAGCCTGAGGAAGGTAGAAAACACGGTCTTTTATACACTGAATGTGCCTACAGTTTTGAAAGCTCTGAAAATTAGCTGGATAACATTAACATTATAAATTGGTTTTTTTTGGTTTTTTTTTGCAAATTGAGAGTTAAAGAGAAATAATGTTCTGCCTTTTTATTTTCAAACTGAGGCTGACTTCAAATCTTTGAAATTTTTTAGCTTTCACCTTCTTGAACTCAGATTGATACTGTACACCATTTTCTGAATTTTCTCCTCGTTCTTCAGGATGTTGGCCTTCACGGCACAGATCTTGTCCTGCTGGTCTTTAATCAGCTGCTCCAGCTCCGCCAGCTCCACCTTCAAGGGTTCCACGGCACTGTCCGTGATACTGACGGGAACAAAACCAGCGACTCATAAGTATCCCGTCTCATTTTAGATTTGCTTCTTAATTAAAACCCTGAAAGACTACAAAAGTGCTTATCTCATCCAAAGAAAAAGGGCAAAAATATAAGTGTACATGATAATGACATAAAGGGACAGAAACCTCATGCCTGGGGAAGATCCACTCATTTTCACATCCCGCCACAACCAAAAGTGAAGTCAAACATGAAATTTATACAAAGGAGGCTAGTATTTCTTCCTTTTATCCACTGATTTTCTTAGAGCGTGACCAGGAGGGAGGGAAGGAGAGAGAGAAACATTGATGCCTCCCTCACACGCCCCCACCAGGTCGGGATCGAACCTGCAACCTAGGTATATGCCCTTGATGGGGAATCAAACCCAAGACTCTTCAGTGAATGGGCTGATGCTCTAACCACTGAACACGCTGGCCAGGGCAAAAACACAACAGTTGATACAGTTACATGCATCCTAGATTCACTGATTATAAATACCGAGTATCAAACAACGTTCTAAAATAATCTTTTTAATGACTATTACATTTCTTATATCGTAGCAATTTCAAAATGGGTTCACTAGCAGTTCTTTTTTTTTTTTTTTTTTTTTTTTTTTATATTTTATTGATATTCCACAGAGAGGAAGGGAGAGAGACAGAGAGTCAGAAACATCGATGAGAGAGAAACATCGATCAGCTGCCTCCCGCACATCTCCCACTGGAGATGTGCCCGCAACCCAGGCACATGCCCCCGACCGGAATCGAACCTGGGACCCTCCAGTCCGCAAGCCGATGCTCTATCCACTGAGCCAAACCGGTTTCGGCAGCAGTTCTTTTAGAGTAAAAAAATAAAATACTTTTGAACTGCAAACAGATAAAACTTGGGGAATTTTGATAAAACACATGAAAAATATGGTATCCAAATTGCAAAGTTTCCTCTATCTTTTAATGCCTAAATCTGTTTTGTGTATGAACATTAACTGCCAATCTCTTCTAACTGCTACAAAAAAAATGCACACCCTGATGGGAATGAGGAACCAAGATGACAGGGGCGCCCAGAGGCCTGCAGACTTGGGGGAGTCCTGACACTGCCCCACACCCCCTCCACCCGGACCCGCCCCTGACCTCTGCTCCTTCTGCAGGGCCTCGGCATGCTGCTGGTTCTCCTGGTGCCACAGCTGCAGCTCGTTCTGCATGGCGTCCGCGTCCTCCTGGAGGTAGTCCATGATTTTGCCCAGGGGCAGCGCACTCTTGCACAGCGTCTGGATGGACAGGCGGAGCTTCTCTATCTCCTTGGAAACGATGTCCTTCTCCTTCTTCCACGCTGACTCCAAGGCCAGGGACTTCTCCTACAATCAGCGGGAGAAGGAAAGAAACATCCTCAGTCGGATGGCAGGAGGGCACAGGAGCGGGCTGCCGGTTCAGCCTGGTCAGGGCTCAGACCTGGGTTGTGGGCTCCATCCCCCGTGGGGATGTGTAAGGGAGGCAACCCATGGAAGTTTCTCTCCCGCCGCCCCCTTTCCCCTTTCATCCTCCTTCTCCCCCTTCCTCTTTCTAAACTTAGAAAACATATCCTCAGGTGAGGATTTTTTTAAAGTTCCTTGTTTTCATAAACTGAGAATGCCTGTGTTCAAGTTACAACAGAAGAGCAGACACCGACTATCGAGTGTGCTGTTCACCCAGAAATATTCCAGCATCAAACTCCTTCATAAAGCACGTGTTAACTTTCCCACACTCACAGAAAAGCACAGGGAACATGGAAGCAGCGTTAACAAATGATAAAGTGACACGGGCAGGCTGCGTCCCCGGGCCCGAGGCATCCTCCGAGGTGACAGTCCTGGAGGGCACCTTGGCCTGCTGCTATCTCCCCGCCTGTTCCATCCCACAGGACAAAGGGAATTGTATGTCCACACCCGTGGTTCAAGGGTCAGCCATGCTGCACCTGCACGCATATTTTACTCATTTGCTTTGCTGACTGGCATTTCATTTTAGGACTACCCATGATTTATTCATCCTCCCCAAGGCTGACGGACACATGGGTCATTCTTGGACTGGGCTCTTACAAACCATGCAGCTCTGAATAATCTCACACACATCCCAGCACACAAGGGCCCGGACATGCCATGTGTAGGGCCACTAGGGGTCAAAGGGTATGCCTGCCTCTAACCTTGGGACACAATGTCAAACAGTTCCCAAAAGGGCTATTGACGTCAAATATGGTTCATGAAGCAGTATTGTATTCGTAAGCTCTGAGAGCTGCCGAGTCAGTGGCAGCTCTGCAGTGACAGGTGCAGGCAGTCAGCACTGAGCCAGGGCCCTGGCCGCAGAGAGAAGCTGCCGCTCAGGTCAGAACATGCATGACCCCAAGCAAGCAACCTTCTAGGTGCAGAGCCTGCACACGGAGCAACTACAGACAGAAATCACATGAGCGGGAGGCTCCTGGATGCAGGTACGAGCTGTACCACCTGTGGTTTCACTGCGCAGACTGGGGCCCATCGGACTGGGGTGATGTCTGACCTCTGCAACTTACTGTCTATGTCATCTCGGTCAAGATAACGTTTGTGCTTTAGTTTCCTAACTAGAAAATGGGGAAGATACCTGGCTCATAGATCACTGAGGATTAAATAAAAAGACATATGTAAGTCCTCAGTCATAAGCGCTCTGTAATGTCAGCTATTGCTATAATGATTATATTGCCCACAACGAAGAATAACCAATTGGCTGATAAGGGACCTCCCACAGCCGATACAGATCATTCGATGTCAGCTACTCCTACAAACAGTTCTGTCCTTGCGAAGGACCAAGGGACGGCCTTGGAAGTCTGGGTAAGGTCAGCGTAGGGATGCTGGCCTGAGACCAGGGGTCACTGTGGCTAAAGCAAAGGTTAGTGCACAGGACAGAGGAGACAACGTTCAGACCCGCCTTTCCCACCAACCTGAAAAGGGGAAATAATTTAACACTGACATTAACAAAGCAAGCAGGCAACAGGGAAATGCAGAACTCAATTTCTCGACTAAAAGGCTCCCTTCTCTACCTAAAGAAATGAAAGTAAGTTAAGAATGTGACATTACTGGCCAAACATTTTTATGAAAGACTATTCTCATATATTTATCTTCCAGATGAACTTAAGAATATTCTTTGCCAAGTTCCAAACCTCCACTGAACATTTATTAGAATTACATTAAATTTATAAGTTAATTTCAGAGAAATGACATCTCTATAATATTGAGTTTCCCATCCAGGAGCACAGTGTCTGGATTTTTTTCCAGACTTTTATATTTCTTGGTAAAATTCCTTGGCTTCTCAATCTAGTTCCTAGAAAAGTCCTTTTAAAAGCACGCATGCCCCGGGAAGTCAGTTTTGTCTCCAGCTCTGCAGGGGACACTGTTTTCACCGCTGACTGCTGACATAGAGGGAAAATACTGACCTCTGTGTATTTATTTGTCACCGGCCATCTGATACATTTGTTTCTAACAGTTTTAACTTTGGGGGTTGATTTCCTTGACAAACTGTTGTCATCTTCAAATATGGTGACACCCTGTCTCCCTTCCAGAATCACATCTCATTTCTCTGGCACTGGCCAGAGCCTCCAGAACATCTCAGCCGGGTCAAATCCCATCCCTGCACCTGAACCTGGTAGAAGTCGCTGCAGCCCCTTGCTGCGGCACCGGATGCTGAGCACTTGGCGCGGGCCTTCCTGCTCCCCTGGTTCAAAGTACCTTTCTACCCCAGTTCGGGTGAGTTTGCAGCGCAATGGGTGCTGAATTGTACATATGCCACTTATTTTTAAGAGACAACACCCTTACTGGTGATATTATTTGGTTCGAGAGTAACTTTTTGGTTAAATGTAAGACAAGCAAGCCACGTTTAATGGATGCTACAACTGACGAATTTTTTTAACTGGAACATCTGACTCTTTGCCTGATGTAGCAGTACGAATGAGGAAGAAATTGACAAAGGAAACGATGAGACTGTATTTCTCTAATAAGGAAGTTTTCAATCCTAGAATATATTCTACTTCACTGTTAATTATATAATAAAATACATGCTTTAGTAATTCCTAACCTTGACTTTTATTCTTTCAGAATAAACACAGAGTGAAAGAAAATTTTTGTTTTGTTAATATTCACCCAAGGATATTTTTCCCAAGGATATTTAGCGAGAGTGGAAGGGCAAAAGGGGGGGGACAGAGAGAGAGAAAGAGATAGAGAGATATCGATGTGAGAGAGATCAGACGGGGGATCAAACCTGCAATCCAGATATGTGCCCTTGACTGGGAATCGAACCTGAGACTGCTTGGTGCTTGAGCCGATGCTCTAAGCCCAGAGCAACACCAGCCAGGATGGAAAGCAATTTGTTTAAAAATTAGAGATATCAGTGAAAAGAAAAGAAAAAATTCAAAGAGAAAATCAACAAAGCCAAAAGTTGGTGGTTTAAGAAGACAAATTTCCGGAAAAAAACAAAAAAACAAAAAACAACAAAAAGCACAAATAGGTAATATAATTAGTAAAAAGAGAGAAAAACTAAACTATAAGTAGAGCAGATATTTAAAAGAATTCTATCAAGACAATAAACTTGAAAATTTCTAAAGAAAGTGGTAACTGGGGCTGACTTGAGAAGAAACAGAAAGCCTAAATACTCCCATAATTAATATAAAAATAAAAGCAGTAGTTTCAATTTTTTCCACCAAAGAAACATGACGCTCAGACAGTTTTACAGGTGAGTCCCACCAGTTGTCAAGACACAGTATCATTCTACCTACAATCTATTCTAGAGAAGAGAACACTCCCCATTCATTTTAAACCTGGCACTCAGACAAGAGCAGGAAAGAAAATCACGGGCCCATTTAATCCATGAATATAAATAATAATTATCAACTACAATCTAACAGTGAATAGATCTATATCATAAAAGGCCTGTGGTCGTGACACCAACATGGCCCTCTGAAATGTGCCTCTGTAAACGGGTACAATTGTGGTCGTGACACCAAACGA